GGGGCGCCTGGCTGGCCACCTCTCAGGGCTGCTCGCTGGAGGAGGAGGAGAAGGGACGGAAGGGACAGAGCCAGAGAGGTCTGCTCCTTGGGGGCGTGGCCTTGAGTGCCAGTCACTTGTTAGGCGCTTATTTGCATTCAGGACCCACACAATGCCTACCTTACCAGCTGCTCATCATTTTCTTTCCTTTCAGAGACTGTAAAGAGTAAGAAAGCACACACCCCTGTTTGTGCCGCTTAAAATGAGAAATCGCCCTTCGCTAGTCAGCTTTCCAAATGCACAGTGTACGTCTTGCTTTTCTTTAAAGTCTCAGTTATTATTTTCCTTTAGATCAACTCTACTCTTTTCACTGAAATACATTTTTGAAAACATTTTCATTGGGGTAAAATTCATGTAAAGCGAACCATTTCAAAGTGTACAAGTTCAGTGGGATTTGGTACATTCACCACCTCTATCCAGTTCCACAACATTTTCACCACCCCGAACGGAAGCCCCTGGCCTGTTAGACAATCACTGCGCATTTCACCTGCCCCCGTCATAAGTCTGCTTTCTGTCCTTGTGAGTTTACCACGCTGAGTCTTTCATATAAATGGAACCATGCAGTGTATGACCTTTTGTGTCTGCTATGTTTTTGAAACTTAGCATAATATTTTTGAGGCATGTCCGTATGTCAATAGTTCATTCCTTTGGGTGGCTGAATAATATTCCACTGGGAAGAAACTTACTGTGAAAGGAGACTCTTCTGTTGTTGCTGGCTTTTCCCTCTTCCCAGAGCAGGGTCCTCCCAGATGCATTCATGTGAATGATCCCTTCCAGTCACTCAGTTAATACATAATACCCTCTCCAGTTCACCCCGACCGAATAGCACTGTGACTACCATAGCCACTCTGCTTGCCCCACCCTCCCAGTCTCCCCCTCCTGGCTTTTTCTCTTTATCCATAATGCTATAGAAAATGGCTGTTTCTTAGGCTGCTTTTGTTCCTGGCTCTCCATGCCTCAGAGGCATATGGGTTCTATGCAGGCAGAGGACTGTGGTCTGCTTGACTTAGAGATGCAGGGCTGAGCACTCACAGCAAACATGAAAAGCATCCCCCAAATATCTACAGACTGGTCCCTGAGAGCCTATGAGTGTCACCTTCCGTGGCACAAAAAGAGATTTTGCAAATGTGATTAAATCAAGACTCTCCTGGTGGGAAGAACATCTGATTTATCTGCATGATCTGAGATGTTATCACAAATATCTTTTTAAAAAGAGGTGTGAGGCTGGAGATTTAGCTCAGTGGTATAGTACCTGACTGGCAAGCGAGAGGTCGTGAGTTTGATCCAGGGCACCAACAAACGAATAACCAAGCCCCGCCAAATAACAAAATTACAAAGGAGATGTGGGGAGATTTGGTGGCATCAGCTGCCCATGTGATGACTGAATCACGATGCTACTCTGCTGGCTTTAAAGATAGAAGGGGCCAGGAGCCCCGAAATCAGCTCTAGTAGTTGGAAAATGCAAGGAAATGAATCCTCTTCTGGAGTCTCTGGAGGGAGCGCAGCCCTGCCGGCCTCTTCAGTGAAGCCTGTGAGACTCATTCCAGAGTGCTGAGCTTCTGACTATAAGGGCACAAACTCCTGGTTTTGTTTTTCTTTTGGTACCGGGAATTGAACTCAGGGCCTTGCACTTGCCAGGTGGACGCTGTGCTGCTGAACGACATCAATGGCTGTAAATTCCTGCTTTAAACCACTGCATTTGTGGTAATTTGTTACAACAGCCACCGGAAACTCATGCAATGCTCAATAACTCTTTGTTATTAAATAACTTTATTGATAAAGTGTTATCAAATAAGTGTTTGAATGTGACTGAAGAAAACACCAGTGCTGCTTACGATAAGCAAAAGTTAACTCAGAACGCAAGGGCAGTGGAAAATGGTGTTGCCGGATTGGAGCTAGTTGGGGAGCAACAGGCTGAGGGAGCACCTTCTTTGTTAGACAGGAGGACGTGGCAGGGCTAGAGAGAGTTAGGCCCTATTCACCACACTGCAACTTTGCTTTTGCTCACTGGACAATGGAATGGTTTGCTTATTTTATCGGTCAATGATGCATAATATTCCCAACGCTTCGGGGCAAGGAGAGACCATATAGAGAAGGCAACATTTGGACCTGACTGAAGGATGGGTGAATGAGCGGATGATGAATGGGGAAAGGAGGGCAGTGTTTGGCATAGCAATGAAGTCCGTGTGCCATCTAAAATCATCAGTGCAGGATGAGTCCTTGTGCGGGGACAATGTATCAAGAGGAAAGGCTTATTTTGGCTCATGCTTTCAGAGTGTTAGCCCTTGGTTGCGCGGCTGTTACTTCCGGTCTGTGACAACACAGTGCCTACATACAGCCGGGAGCGTGGGCTGTAGAACTGTTCACCTCCTGGTGGCCTGAAAGCAAAGCGAGAAGAGGAGGGGCTCGGGTCCCAGGATCTCCTTGAGGCCACGCCCCCAATGGCCTAACTTCCTCTCATCGGCCCCCTCCCAACTGTTCCACCTCTCTCAGGAGCTCCACAGGGCGTGCCTGAGCCTTTAGCACGTGGGCCCGTTGGGGACGTCGGGATCCAAACTATAGTTGCCCTAGAACTCCTGAAAACACCTCTGTGTGACGGGAGGAGTCAAAGCGGGAAGCACCGTGGCACAGCCTGGAGTAGGGACCGGAGGAAGGAGAGCTGGGAGAGGTGGAGGTTGGTGACCAGTGGAGCCTCCTGTTGCTTTGTCTGTTGCGCAGACTTCTCCTGCCTCAGCTGCTCCTTAAATACGGAGGACCTGGGGTCCCCATCCTCAACCCTCTCCTCTTTGGACCTGCGTTTCCTCAGTGGGACTTGCTCCACACCCTGACTCGCCTTAACCTTCGCGCTCCCACAGGTCTGTTCTGGCTCACATCTCTCTCCTGAGTCCTCAACCCCAGGCGAGGCAGGAATCTGTACTCACCCTCTCCTCTTGGGGGTGGAGTCTCAAGGGACTTGTTAGGATCCAGATGCTCCTGACTCAGGGGGAGATGACCCAGGGGACCCAGGGCCTCAGAAGGGGAAGGCAGAGGAGCAGAGAGGTCCTAGCATGGGCAGTTTGGGAAGATGAAGGTATGTGAGGGACAAACATGCCTGTGAGCTGCGAATGGAACTGGTTATTGTCCCGTGGAGGCAGTGAGTCCTGGCCATTGTGGCTGCATATAAAGCAGTCTTGGACAACGATTGCCCTTCCCCACCCTCCCATCTGTCCTTGGACAAAAAGGGTTGAGCAGGCTGGACCTCCAGCCAGAGGGAACCAAAAAGGACTTCCTCAGGGGCAGGCAAACGACATCTTGGGGAAAATCTTCTCTACGAAAAACAGTTTGCTAAGTTCACAGGCTCCAGCCACTGGCCGTGGAGTGGCTTTAAGAATTCTCTTTGTCACTGTTTCTTTATTTCCAAGAGGGCCTGAGCTGTCAAAGTTGCCTGAGTGGATATACACAAAGAGCTTAGCAGAATTTATAGCAAGCAATGAGAGCTCAATAACTATGCCATCCTTTCTGTTGTTTTTTTTAGCTCCATGATCTTGTCCTGAGGGTCAACCTTGTCTTCAGTCCTGTCTCAGTCGACACCATTCCTGTCCTCACAGAGTTTATGCTCTGTGACAAAGGAGTGGATAAAAATTGTGTCAGGGGTAGGCATGGTGGCACATGACTGTAACCTCAGCTCCGGAGAGAGAGGCTGAGGGCTGAGGGTTGCAAATTCAAGGCCAGCTTGGACAGCTTAGTGAGACCCTACCTTGAAATAAAAATTAAAAAGTGCTGGGGATGCATCTCAGTGCTACAATGCCCCGAGTTCAATACCCTGTAATAATAATAATAATAATAATAATAATTAATAATAATAATAATATGAATTTATGCTGGAGAGGACGCTGTATAATGGCAGAAGCTCCAGTTTCCTAGGGCTGGGACAGCCTTGTGGAGGTCCATTGACTCTCTTCCTGGAAGGGAGACTGGAGGAGAAAGGGCAGCGCTGGGCTCTGCATGAGCCAGGAGGGGTGTTCGCCCGTGACAGATGAGCCAGACGCTGGCAGCCTCACCTCTGACACACCCAGCAGAAGCCTCGTTGGAAATGTTCCTGCCTGTGACATCACGCCAAGCCAGTCAGTTCCATGAATCTGAGGGCACAGCACCTGCCTCCTGCCAGGGCGGAGAGGAGGAAGCTCCTCTCTGGCTGGGGGCCAACTGAGCATCTACTGCAGGTTCCCTGTTGGTACCGGCAGTTCCACCCAGGCCCAGCCAGTGGGAAGCTGGCTCGTGCCTCTGTAACCTGGTGCTGGCCTGGGTCAGCCTGGCTTCAGAGCCCACTCCCCGGGGAAGCACCAGGCCGCAGGGGTCATAATGCCCTTGTTCTGTGGCCTGGCGTGTCCCCTGGCAGTTCCCGAGGAGGGCCAGTGCAGGTGCCACATAGGAGGGAGAGCGCCACTCCAGCCACTGGCAGGGGAGCAGGTTGATCTGGGTGTCCAGTCCCCAGGGAGGAGCCTCCAGCCTCCTACTTTCACGGAGACTCGGGGCTGCACCGATCCCATCCCTGTGTGGGGTCAGCCTCAAAGTGCAGACCTCACCCCACTAGGGGGGAAGCACAGATCCAGGGAATTGAGCCTCCCCCTTTTCCCCTCATAATGACACCAGCTTCGCTCTTAAAACAGCCAGACACAGTTTGGGCGTGAGACAGTGTGCACAGACTGTGAGGTCCGACCGTGTGGGTTCGAATCCCTGGACAATTACTTCCTGCTGTGTCACTTGTGGAGAGAAACCTAACCTTTCCGGGCCTCCCACAGAATGGGAGCGGCAGACCTCTTCCATGGGCTGACCCAGAGACTGGCATCTTTTTTTCCTTCTGGAAAGATCCAGAAAGGAAGTATTGTAGGTTTTGCTGGTTTTGTGAGTCTGTTTTAACCACTCGACTTTGTGCACAAGTACCCATAAATAGTAGGTAGACATGTGGATATGACTGTGTGCCAATAAAGTTTTATTTCTGGAAACTGAAGTTGGAAATCCTATCATTTTCTTGAGTCATAATTTTTTTTTTCTTTTTAGCTATTCAAAAGTGGAAAAAAAAAAACCATTCTCAGTTCACAAACAAAAACAGGATTTAGCCTGTGGGCCACACAGTTTGCTGTCCCCAGGCTGATTTGCATGAGGGCTTAGGATAGTGCCCGGAGCTGCTCTTGCACTGATGCTGAGGTTGGAATTGCATGTACATGGTGGGCGTTCGCAGGGGCAGGCCACTGAGGCTGCTAGTAGAAAGGAGGTCTCTATCTCTTTCCGGTACGAGGGATTGAAACCAAGGCCTCTGCTGAACAGCTACCTCCCCAGCCCTTTTTTATATTTTATTTTGAGATAAGGTCTGCTAACTAGGTAAACGGCCCAGCCTGCTCTCCAATGTGCGATCTTCCTGCCTCAGCCTCCTGGACTGCTAGGATCACAGGCGTGTGCTGCTGTGCTGGGCAGTGGAGCAGGCCGAGCTGGTTGGTGAGAGGAGCAGCTGAGCTCAGACTACGAGGACACCACCGACCAGGCGTACCCAGCTGTGTCCCTTAACTGGCCCTTCTCTGCTTGGGAGCTGCCTTAGCTGCCCAGATCATGGCCCCAGCCCAGCCGCCCTGCCACTCCCTCCACTGCACCTCTCCCCACACACACCCAGGACCCACGCCGGGTCTGTGCCCGAGGGTGACAAGGATACCTTGTGCCAGTATCAGTACCCAGGACAGCTTGGGCACCGCAGCCACCCCCTAGGGCTGGCACTACCTTTTATCTTTGGCATCAGGCAGGAGCTGTCCAGCCTTGTGACCGAAAGTCACATCCTGTGGCCCTGGTAAGGCCAGGGTGTGGGTGGAACCCTAGCTTGGGGCTGTGGAGGTGTTCTTTTCTCTCAACTCCCAGCCAAGAGCACACCGGGTCCTCATTGATGGTGCCCTTGTGTTGGCCTGCAGTCTTCCCCGTGTGGATGTGCTGAGTTCAGGTCCTGATCTAGCTCATCCTGGCCAGGTGTAGAGCCAGGCAGGACCCAGTGGCTCTGCCTGCCCGTGCCCAACCCTGATTTGACCACAGCAACCTTTTAGGCAGTGTCCCAAAGGCCCAGGGTACAGATAGGAGGCTCCCTGTGCCTCCGGGAGACAAGGCCTGAGTCCCTCAACCACAGCTGCAGTCCTGACCAGCTCTCTCCTTCCAGCATTGTCTCAGGACTCGTCCGGCACCTGGGTGTCTGAGAGCTGGCTGGAGAAGGCCCTGCCCAAGTGCAAGGTGTTATATCTGGGGGGTGGCGTGCCGGGCACCTGGGCCCCCGGGGCTGGAGGCAGCTGCAGAGCAGAGGTGAAAGTGGGCAGGTCCTCGTCTACATGGAGGGCTGGATTGTCCTGGCCCCGCCAGCCGGGGGGACCCTCAGGGCAGGGCGATCCTTGCTTCCGGGCCCACCACTCCTTGGCTCTCTGCCACTGTCGGCGGGCGATGATAGAGAAGAAGTCAATGAAGAAGACTTCGATGATCTCGATGACACAGACGACAGAGCAACTCATCCACAGGCCCAGCTGGCCGCCAAAGTTGGAAAGAAGCACCTCGATCTGCAAGGGAGGCCACGCCACATCGTGGAGAGGGACGCTCCCTCAGCAGGCCCCGTGCTCCCCTCTGGCCCCGCATTCCCCGGGGCGAGACTCGGGCCAACTGAAGGGGCTCAGAGTAGGAGCCCAAAGGTCTCCCGCCCCTCTGCTTCTGTTTGCCTTCCCCAGCCTGGCTGGCCTCTAGCAACCCTACTGCGTCAGGCTGGACCTTCACACACAGGTCCCGGAAGGGCCCCACTCACGCTGTTGGCTGGGCTCTCCATGATGGATCTCTGGTTCAGGTCTTTGTAGAAGATCAAGAGTTTGGCCAAGTCCGTCCTGCAGAAATCCCAACAGGTGAGGAAGGCCCGGGTGGGTCGGAGCCTTGGCATTCTGCCGGATGACCGGTCCCTTTGCGTGCTCTTCCCCTCCTACTCAGGCCCTCAGCACGGCCTAGGCACTGAGCTCCTTGGGGACACGAGAAACTGATCTGTGGGCTGCTTCTGTTCCCCACAGTGCATTTCCGTCCTGGGTTTGGTTCTCAGACCATTCGTTCATTCCACAGTGAGTTCCCAACCTCCAGGCTAGGTCTGTATACCCAGCCATACTCCCTGAGTATGCTGTTCTCCATTAAACTTTGTTGCTGGTAATTGTTTGATCACAATCTCAACTACATACAAGAGGCAGCAGGTAATGTAAATGAACAAGTTAGGCTGATGATAAGGTAGTAGAGGTAATGACCATGATAGCAGTTAGCATTTATTAGGCACTTCCTGTTTTGCCAAGCACTGTTGTAAGAACTTTATATTAACTCATTTAATCTCACAATGTCTCAAGTGAGGTGAGGAGGTATGTTTTCATCATTTCTGCATTTTACAGGTGTGGAGACTGAGACCCAGACTGGTTAAGTAACTTGTCTGCATCTGCACAGCTCATCACTGGCTGAGCCAGTATCCAAATCCAGACAGAGCTGGCTTTAAGTCCACTCTCTTCATTGCTGGTCTATATTCTTTCTGTATAGAACCAGAAGCTCATCCCAAAGGTGCAGCTATGTCTTAACTATTAGCTGCTATATGGGAATGGAGGTTCAGTATTGCTGGAATTTTTCATTTTTCAGGAAAAGGTAGAAATAACGGGTTACTTTTGCAGAGGTAGATTTGGTCCAAGGGGGCAATGATTTGCAATACTTGGTTTAATGTTTTGCAGGTGTTTAGTCTAAGCCTATCTTTACCACGACACTGCAAAGTTCTGGAGCAGAGAACATGACCACTTGGTCAGCTGGGTCCCCAACAGGGACCAACAGGGACCAACTCACATAGCACCTGGGACTCAGTGACCCTCAGTCAATCTTGGGCAGCCCGGGTATGGACACTGGGAGATGATGACAGCCCAGACAAATGTGAGTCGCAGCTATGCGTTCACCCTGTCTCACCTGGGAAATGATCTTTGTCAAAACGTCAAGTGGGCTTAGGAGCCTCAAGGCTCAGGGGAGTATTTCTCCAAATGGGTTGGATTACATGAATACGCCATGAAATAAATATCCTGGGCAATGACAAGTATCTTTTACAAGACTAGATAGATTAGTAAATATCAGAATACATTTGAAAGGCTATTCAAAATATTTACCAAATGGGAGGGCAGGGGTGCTAATGAATCAGTGTGCTATGACCAATCGGAATACTCAGCTCTCCCTCTTTATCCGTGGGTCCTTAATTTATGTTTTCAACCAACCATGGAGAAAATATTTTCAGAAAAAAAAAATTGCATTTGGATTGAACTTGTAGTAGAGCCTTTTTCCTTGTCCTTATTCCTTAGCTAGCACAATATCACAACAGTTTACCAACATTTGCCTTGTATGGGGTGTTGTAAGTAATCTAGAGATGACTTAAATGTAGCAGAGGCTGTGGTAGATTTTATGCAAATACTACGCCATTTTACATAAGGGACACGAACGCCTTAACTATTTGGTATCCGTGGGAGGGGATCCTGGAGCCAATCCCCTGAGGATACTGAAAGATGAAGGTAAACAATTGGTTTGTCCTTTCCAATGTGCAGCATTTGGAAATCAGCTGAGTGCTTTGCACATTGTAATGAAACATCGTTGTGCACCTTATTTCAATCGTATCTGCAGTGGGCTACAATGTAAAAAAAAAAACATTTCCTACTATGGGTGAAGGTCAAAGGAGAGTTTGATCAGGCCTGGTTCATGAAACCGGCTCAATAAATATTTGAATAAAGGATGGAATGAATGAAAAGGGGGAGGGTTTGGCAATGAGGAAACAAGCAGAGAGGCTGAGCCCTTGGCGGACGGAGGCAGAGGAAACTGGATGGAGGTAGACTTACTTGTTGAGCTTTTTGTTTATTTGCTGGCCTTGGTCCCAGGTGAGAATGCGTAACAACCACTTCTGTGATGGAGAAAGAAAGAGTGGGCCGGGGGTACCCATCTGCCCCGCTTCCTCAGCCATCCCCTGGGCCGGAAGACAGCAAGGACATCAGGCAGGGGTCAGGGGACAGAAAGGGCAGTGGAGCTTACCTCTGAAACCTCAGATGGCCACTGCGCCAGGCTGGTGGTCAGCGTCCATTCCTTAAACCTTAGGAGAGGAGAGGAGGGGGCAGAGCGAGTGTGGCAGCCGGGCCCCGTCCCATCCCTGCCCTCCCACCCCTGTCCGGGTCTACCCACCTGCACGTTTCCCGGCACACTGCCTGGCATTCCAGCTCTTCCTGAACAAAGGCCTGGTACAGCTTGTAGTAACAGTACACTGAGAGACATGGGGAAGCAGCATGAGCTTTGGGGCCAGCGGGCCCTTCCTGGGGTCGCTGAGTCACCATGGAGACCCCATAGTCTTATAGTTTTCCTCCTACTGTCTACCAGCATGGGTTCTCTGGAAACAAGGACCCGCCCCCCGTGATGTTGGGGAACAGAATATGCACTGGTGGTGGTTAAGAGCATGAGTTGGGGTTAGGTAGCCCTTGCCTGGGGCCCCTTGGGGTACAGCTGTGTTACCTCTGGCCAAGCAACCTTGGGCAAATTGCCTAACCTTTCTTGGTTATCTGTTCTGCAAAAAGATCCTATCGACAGCACCCAGGCTGGGTTGCAACATTTGGTCCCCAACTGGGAGACAGCATTTGAGCCAGGTTTGAGGACTGAAGTAAACGTCTAATTAACATCTAATACCTCCTCGAGCAAGAGGCAGTGGGGCAGAGACACAGGAGCGCCTTAGGCCGGGTCGGTGCGGGGCTGGGGTGGGTGGCACTCACTCCAGTTCGGGTTTTGCTGATAGTTGCAGTAGTTGGCATTGGGAGGCAGAGGCTGGCTGTACTGGGCACACCCACACTTCTCTACCATCTTTGTCTGGAAGCAGGAGTAAAGGCAGATCTGAAAGAGGAAGGAGAGGCCTGAACCCTCTTGCCTGCAATGCTGGAGAGCACCCCCTCCAGGCCCCCCAACCCCGCCCCGGCTGCTCAGCTCCCTCAGCTGTGGCCGACTGCGCCCTGGTGCCTTTCTGCCACCCAGGCCAGGGGTGGCACCCTGACTCCAAAGGGGCTGAGAATGTGCACTGGAATAGTGAGGCCATGTTGAGCCGGGACTAGGATGGTCGTTTTCTGTCCCTTGAAGGCTGACAAAGAGTAAAGGGGAAAATTAAAGCAGCTGCTAATAAACCGAGGAACAGAGTCTCAACAGTCCAATTTTCAGATCCAAAAATTCCCTCTGGGATCTTCGAGGATCATAAGCTATCACATGATCCAGGAAGCTTGTAGCATAGAAGCCAATGGCAGGAGCTCTGAAGTCAGGGTATTTGGACTCAAAAATCCCACATTTGCCACCTACTACGTGTGTGTCCTTGGGCAAGTCACCTAACCTCTCTGGTATTTTGTTTTCTTCGTCTTTGAAATAAATACAATACCTGCTCCATGAGATTCTTCTTCTTCTTCTTCTTCTTTTTTTTTTTTTTTTTTTTTTTTTTGAGACAGATTCTCACTATGTAGTTGAGACTGACTGGAACTCACTATGCAGCCCAGGCTGGTCTCAAACTCACAGCGATCCTCCTGCCTCAGCCTCCCGAGTGCTGGGATTACAGACATGCACCACCATGCCCAGCTTCCATGTGATTATTCTGAGCATGATGAATCAACATATTAAAGTGAAGCTGGTAGCTTATGGCTCAGTGTTACCCACAGGCACATTTCCAACAAGCTTACCTCCTTTTTGGAGGTGGAGGTCCTAAGGTCATTTGGCTGTGTCTCTATTTCCTGTAGGGAGACCCTCTCTAACAGCCCTCCTTCCCCAGTGTGTCCTCCGCCCCTCAGCTCCATGTTCATGGAGGCTGGAGGACGCCATGCTGAGGCGCCCTGTCCTGTATTCTGCCAGGATGGTTTCTGTGGACTCTGTGCACCCTGGTAGGAGGCCAACTCCAGACCCTGGTGCGAGACAAGCATAAGAGCTCATTACATGCGAGGGTGGAAAACCCCAACGCCTATGGGGCCAGTGATGAGGGAGGTGCCCTGGGGGTGGCTGAGAGCCGTGGAGACCTAGGGCGTCCTCCTGCAGTGGGGCAGCTTTACCCACCCACCATCCTGCAGGAATCCAGACCCAGAGCTGCCAGCTCTCCTTCCTCTTCAAAGCAGCTGGAAGTCTGTGTTCACCTGTGAAATTCTCGATTTTGAAATGTCCAGGTTAGGAAAATCAGGTGTGCAGCCCACAGGGGCCTGGCAGTGCCAATTAGCCAGCCCCTGATCCGATCGATCCTCACAGGGGATGCAACTTGCCCAAGGCACCCTCGTAAGGACACAGCTGGCCCGGAAGCCAAGCGCTGGGCCCTCAGCCAGGGTCCCCGAGATGCCTGCACCTGCCCAGGCCCACTTAGGGAGCGGGCGTCCCTGCGCTGTACATTCTGTACCACATGAACCCAGCTGGTCGAGCTCCAGTTACACAGACTGAACAGGTCTGGAACCAGCCAGCATCATCTGTTCTTGAGGTCTCTGGACGAACCCCAGGGATCCTCAGGCTAGTTCCTGGTCCCGGCCACTCCCTGGCCGGGATGAAATTTTGTCCCTTTGCCACAGCCCAGGTCTGGGCACCCCTGCCGCACCGTACCTGGAGGGAGTAGGCAGCGTTGTAGACATTCTCCACTGGCACGTCGTGCCCGTCCTCTGTGCACTGGCTGTAGGGTTCACTCAGCTTGAAGGACTCTGTCTGCAACCAGAGCAGAGCGTGGTCATCCCCGGCCGCCTGGGGGCCCCAGTGGGGAGGCTTCCCTGGAATCTAAGGGGCCACTTTCATTCATTAAATGCAAATGTATTCAGCACTTGCTAGGTGCCTGTGACCTTAGAGACACCACGGAATCCACCACTATCAAGAGGGACAGTACCTCCCTGCCATGTGGGGCTTACATTCCAGAAGGGAGACAGGTGGCCAAAAAGCCAATAAAATACTGGATAATTTTGAGTAATGAACAATGAGCCTGATAAGGAGACTGGAAGGCTTAGAAAGAGGGAAGCCATCCATCCCAGAGTGATTAGGGAAGGGGCCTCTGAGAAAGGCACTTCTGTCATGTTGGCTCAGTGTGGAGTGCAAACAGGAGCTGTTATTGTTAAGAGGTAGGAGAAGAGAGCCAGGTGCTCTGTTTTAGCAGAGTGCAGTGGCACACACCTGTAATCCCAGCACTCTGGGAGGCTGATGCAGGAAGATCACATGTTCCAGCCCAGCCCCGGCAATTTAGCAACTTAGAGAGACCTTGTCTCAAAATAAAAAATAAAAATAGAAGATTAGCCCAATGTGACAGCTCTGGGTCCAGTTTCTGGTACTGAAAAACTAAAGATAAAAAAAAGCAAACCGGGCATGGTGGCACACGCCTGTAATCCCAGCACTCAGGAGGCTGAGACAGGAGGATCGCTGTGAGTTCGAGACCAGCCTGGGCTACATAGTGAGTTCCAGGTCAGGCTCAACTACATAGTGAGACCCTGTCTCAAAAAACAAACAAACAAACAAACAAATAAATAAAGGAAAGAAATAAGGTGAGAGAACTGGACAGAGGTTAAAACCCAGACTGGAGGCAGGAGCAGCCAGTGTGTCTGGAACATGCATGGCACAGACTGCTGGGGATGAAGTTAAGAGTGAACGGTGGAAGTCAAAGCCAGGATCTGGCTTCCCAAAAGTCAGTGCGCCACTGTGAGTCCACTCGTAGGGAAGACTGAAAGGTAAGCTGTTCTAGCTTAATATTTGTCACTGAAGATAAAGTTCAGACAAG